TCGGCACTTTTCCTGAAATCTATCATTCCTTCGTTTTACCGTACATGCATTTCTGCATCTTTGGCGCACTATTTTTCCATCTTTCTCTTCCTGGTTTCACCGTACACGCGTGGGTGGTGCACGACGCCTTGTTTCCCATTCTCCTTCCTCTTTCATTGTAACTCGTCCGTTTCTACCGATTCTTGTTCACTATCAACGTGCTATTCTCTTACAAACCGTGGCTCAATTTCTGACTTCACTTTCGAGGAATCTTGGTGAGGTATATTAGGCTCCTCTTCGTTCTCTCTGTGTTTCCTCGAATCATCTCGTTGCATTTCGATTGGGTTTTGTTATAAATTTAATTATAAACTAATAAACCCCCTTATTGGTAAAGGGTGGAAAAATTCAGAAATTTTTCCCTTGATAACGATTTCTGTGACATTCACAAGATTGCCAGCTATCGCGCAACCAAGGTGTTTTACTCATTTTCTAGAAAGCCTCGAAAAAGAAAGGGCGCTTCTCCCTATCCCGATTAGACGTTACCTCCTCGAGGATCTACGCGTGTAAATACATAGTAACACGCTCCTCTCCTCTCAGCCAGACGTGGGACGATCCTCTCTGTTCGACTCTATATAAACCAGCGTGAACTCACAGTCTGAGCCGAGTAGTTCGCCAACGGCGAACAGTTCGTACAGATCTTTCGTTCCGTTCTTTAGTGGTCGTGCACGCGTGTGCATTCGTGTATAAGTGCACCTAGTGACAAAGTAAACGCGATATCTATTATACAAAATTTTCGCTCTTCTTTCGAATCACGCACCGGTGATCAATTGGTAAAAATCATTTACGAAATTAGGCCGAATTTCATAGTTAGCACATTCTCAAGGCATTGCCTCTTCTAGTCTCCGTCTCGTCGGTTTGGCTACACAATTTAGATATTCTAAACCCTACTAAACTGACGAGACTGGGATTGGCGTATATTTTGGAAGGACCATTCGAAAAAATACCCCAAATTTGTTCTGGGCGATCGAAATTGATTTAGAGTAATTGTTATCGTGCAATTTTACTTGAATGAAATTTTAATTGTTTCGCTGACAATACTTGAAAAGCTTACGTAACGTTTGTTAATCGAAAACTGTTCGGAGCGTGAAGAAGAAGGATTAGTTTGATCGAGAAAGTGCGAACGACTCGCGTGAGTCATTCTGCGTGTTGGATGGTCGCAAGACGCAGATGCTTTTATCTTCGGCCACGTTTTCTTGCACAAGACATTCGTATCTTGTACTTAGTATCAATCGCAAGTCTAACGATTGCTTCCTATTAATAGAAGGCAGTAAAGTAATCAGACTATAAAAAGCATTTTTCGTTTAATATAGTGGATTATATATAGGCTGGAATGACGGGGGAGGATATCTATTGCGTCTTAAATTAATACGTTTCGCGGCAGTCGCGTAAAAGTACATAGTTTGGTAATTTCGTATCACGTGTCTTGTTTCGTTCGTTACAAGTGGGGTATATTTTCGGGATATATTTTTTAAGGATCATTATCGATAAAGTGTCGTGAAATTTTCGCGAGATGGATACGATCACGAAGGCAGGACGAAGTGTGGGGAATGGTGTGTTCCGTGTGGCAGGTGCCTTCGCTCGTGGCACCAGAAAGGTTTTGTCTTACGTACCGTTTTTGGGCGTCGTTGCGGTTCCACCGGAAACTGACCAGGTAAAATCCATCGGGGTAGGCTATACATACGATACATACTTGTGATTTTTTTCTCCAATTGCTTGATACCGAGTGATCAGAGCAAATTTAACCCTTCCTCCAGTTTCCCTACTAGGAGCAACGTGCACGATACGGTTATTACCTAGGACAACATACCGAACGATTCCCCTGATCCAGACCTATTTCCGGCGCTGATTAACTGTTCCCAGGTGGCTTGCAGGACTTAATGGCTTTGGTATCCGCTCGCTCGTGGACGTATTATTCGCGTTATCGGTTCCAGCGGACTGGTTTCATTTAAATACTTGATACTAAAGTGGATTAAATAGAAACCAGACTGTATAATCGCAAATTGACGCAGTTACGTTGGTTATGGCGTCGATGTTCTTTTTTTACAATTAGCTAACAAATATCCGATCGATACACGCATTCACAACGAGTGTCTACCGATCATTCGATACTGTTTTTTATTTTACGCAATTGTTCATTGTTCGATGCGCTTGAACAGAGAACAAAGGTAAACCGACACTCGATGTGTAAAATAAAAATAGTCGCGAGCCGTATAAAGTTGGAACACGGTGAAAGTTTCGGAAAATGTTTTCTCCTCCAGCACGATGAAAAATGTCCAGCTACGAAAGTATATGCTTTCGTGTTCGACGGGGGGGATGCTTCGAGTTGCAGCCGGGTGAATCCGTTTTAAGGTTTCGCGTATCGAATTATAACCGCGCTCAACCGTAATGAGCGCGATATATCCTCGTGTCGCGTTAATCCGCGCACAACTGTTTGGCGAATCGAGGAAAATTAACCTGACCAGGAATATATTAGTCCTGTACAGACGAGAAATTTAATCGCGTCTGCCTACTGTGACAAACAATGGAAATTGAATTTATGCTCGATCAACGATCAAAGGCTGCTCCGAAACATTATTGCATTTTCGGTTAACACGAAAGCTTTCGTTAACCCCTCTGAAAATTGAATCGTATCGTTTCATAGAAAGGGTGTTTCTGTATTTTCTTTCAAATATTCATCTTGAAAGGGTTAGATACTTGGTCCTAGTGTTAGATAAGTATCTTGATTATTAATGACTCCTCGAACGCAAAGTCAAGTCCCGTGAAAAGCGTAGGTAAACGAGCTCGTTAGGAAGACTATTAATTACTTCATACGCTACATTAACTTCTCGTTCGATTAACGCGTATTATCGTCAAGACAGCAGTTTTTTCTTTTTTTTTTTTTTTTTTTTTTCTTGGATTGGCAAACATGGGAATTCTCGGTATGTTTATTCAATTGCAATAAAATGATCGTCCTCGGTGAAAAGAATTAAACTCTTCTTTCCTCTGGTCTAGTTTAGTTATGTATAATTTACTGTGGGACACGCTCCGGTGGACCGAATAAGTGTTGCTGTCGTAATTCAATTCTGGGTAAGGTCGGTAAACAAAAGAAAGAGAAAAAAGGAAGAAAAAGCGGGTCAGAAGAATAGATTCTATTTGAAATTCAAAAGAAAATTTACGAGCATGGATTTGAGTTAGGACAATGGATAATAATCAGGGCGAGAAAAATGTAATTAGCTGTTTGCTAGCGTAAACTTATGTAACTTGCAGATATAGCATCCGCCAGGGAGGAACAGGCAACAGTTGTTGCACGAGCACGTGGCACGTGTCACCCCTCTAAGCTTTCATTCTTTTATCTTTTTTTGGAACGGGAAATTGATTATAGGATCAATCTTAATACAGCATACCAGCTGTTGTGGACGATGTCAGGATAGGATAATTCGCACGGTTCAACGACTATAACGTCGCGGTTGAGACGCGTCAGCGAGCTATTAAAGGACTAAGTTATTCGCGTCGTTAACGAATGATTTCAATACCATGGTATTTTGGTGACGCTTCAAATAACAGCCAGTATTTCTAACTTCGTTGCCTGTAAAATGGAACCAAGGACTAGTAAAATTTTTTCGTACGATATTCAGCTAGAGATATTTAGCTTGGAGTTTCGAGCGAGCGAAACTCGGCGAGATTCATGATCCTCGTTTAAATATATATTCGGAACAGCCGTGGGCAGCCAACGTGCGTAGGTTTTCTCTATCCTCTGTACATTGGTGTGCAACAGTCATCGTTTGTGCATTCAGCAGTTGGTCTTTCGTTGCAAACTTATTAGAGACACTCTGTTTTATAATCCAGTCAGGATTGGTCGGCGGCCAACGATGAATCTTCTCGTGTTTGCACGATCGATTTCTCGTTGTAAGAGGAAACCAAGGGTAATCGGAAGTTTATTACCGGCGATGCTTCTTTCTTCCGTCGAGCCACGGGGCGCGGACAATGGCCTGAACGACGACGATTCTGGCCTTCGGCCAGCCCTCTTCTTTTTACCGTTGTCCTTTTAGCCTTCTATCTGAAGTTTAGCCAAATTTGCAACGCGAATTCGCCAGTACTTTGACTCTTCGATTCGCGTCAGTCGTTCACCGGCAGAGGTCGAAAACCTTCAGAGGAAACTTTCTCTCGTAGTGAATCATATGCGCCAATGAATTTTGAAACACGCTGTATAGGCCAGCTTCTAACCTTTGCTGGCGAAACACGGGAATCAGAAACGTCCGAGGAAGAAGGAAAAAAAAACAACACTCCGGTTTAGAAAGCCCTTGTCCACCACGACCCTTCCAGGGGCTGTAATTCTTTAAGCGAGAAGCTTACCCCTTACGAAAATGCACGGGAGGAACGGCGAGAAGGGGTTTCACTTAACCAACCGATCGATACCAGGTCTGGGGACGATAAAGCACGCGCCGCGTTCCGCACGTCCGGTTTCTATTTCCCTCTTCGGTTTCAACAATTGATTTCTCTCGTATGTCCGCGTCAAAATGCCAGTACCCTAGAACCTGATTTACCTGAAAAGACAAAACAGATCGAATAACGGATCATCGATTTCTTCTAGGAACTTTTTGTTAGACCAAACGACTCGAAGCGTAGCATTCTTTGCTATTTTCTTCTTCGGTTCACACGATCGTTCGTGCAATTTAGACAAAGTTCGATTTCACACGCCTGTATTTTGCGACTAACGAACCGGACGTATATTTATAAAATCACAATCAATCACGCCTCGCTTCGAAAGTAATCGCTGACACAGTGACACGATTGGCCACCCCTGAAAGGGTGACGACATTCGTACCTCGGCACCCTATGGCGGCTCTCCTTTTGTACTCCTTCATAGGGGCATCCACCCTCTTTGCAAACCCCTCTTGTCTACGAGTCGCTAGGTTATTCACCCTCGTGCTACGATTAGCCTCCCTTTTTAATAACCCAAAGAAAATCGTTGAATGTTTCAGGGCGGAGAAGAAGCGGAGAACGGATCAGCCACCGCAGGTAGCCCAGTCGAGGAGAAATCAGCAGTAAGTAGTCCAACAGCAGAAAACGAAGCCAGCCCGACAGCAGCAGCAGCAGCAACAACAGCCTCATCGCCGTCGGCCGAGACGAAGGAAGAAAGTTCAGCGTCTCCAGATAGTAGCCCCGCGGATGAAAAGCAAGAGGAACCCACTCCCTCTGCCCCAACTCCCGTCCCTGTCGAGGAAAAGAAAGAGGAGGTGGAAAAAGTGGAGGCCGAGAAAAAAGTAGTCGAGGTCAGTCCAGCCGGTGGTCAGTTCGTACCGGGCCCGGTAGAAGTCTCCGTTTTCCAAGTCCAGACAGTCGCTACGCCGTCTATCATTGAGAGGAAAACCAGTGAGGATATTCCTTCCCAGCCCCCGTCCAGTCCACCGCCAACCCCCATAGACGCGTCGCCTTTGCAGCAAGCTCAGCAGGCTGCCGCGACCGCGACAGCTATCGCAGAGGCTTTCAACTTGCCTGCGGAGGTTGCTGTCGGGCATTCTCTAATTCAACCAACCTCCTCCTCCTCCTCCTCCGCTTCCTCCTGTCCAGAGCGTAACGACCCGTCAACACCGCCGACCGCCGCGGAATCTCTCGATGCGACTAATCCCCCGCAGAGACCACCCGCTTCTTCCGCGGACGTAAACCCTACAACAGAATCGTTTAATATTCTCCCTCCGAAAGTCGAAACCACTCTGCCGGTGGTAAATTCCGATTCTAGCAAGCCTGAATCCACAGTTGAAGAAAATATGGAAAAACCCGCGGCGGCAAAATCTGACAATCCCTCCGACGACGACGACGACGACGACGCGTGTTCTCGAAAGAAATTTCAAACGGTTGAGCAGTCTCCGAAATCGGAGATAGTTGGCGGTGCGAATGACGCACCGTTGGTAGAGAACGAAGCGTCGGAGGTGGTAGTCGGTGAGCCGAAAAAAGTGGAACCCGCAATGTCGGAGAAAGAAAAAGCACTGGAAAATCTAAATGTGACGGAACAGGCGGAGGAATTGGTTAAACAGGTGATCGAGCAGCCTGAAATTGTACGAGAAGAAGAGGCGAAAGATGTTAAACCACCGGCTGAAGAGATGGACACCGTTCTGGAAAGTGAAGAAGGTCCGGTACCACTTTCCGAGGAAGTCGTAGTAGAGGCTAAACCTGCTGTTGTTATTCCAGAAGATGAGGATGTAACGATGGAAAGGATCGACGACGAGCCGGCGGGCGACACCGATGCCGAGGACTCGACGAAGGCCACGGAATCGGTCGAGATTATAGTGGAAGAGAAATTGGAACCGGAAGCAGAGCCCGATATCGTTGTTACCGCCGAAGAGATCGTGGTTCTCGAAGAGCCAGAAGACTCGGTCGTTCCCGAGGAATCTCGTCCAAAGATCGTGGTTATAGAGAAAGAGGAAGAGATAGAAGTAATCGAAATAAGCGAGGAGGTAACCGAGGAAGAAGAATCGATGCCTCCACCTCTGCCAGATTCACCCGTGCCTACTATTAGTAGTCCTCGAGAAAACGTTCATTCCGAGAACGCAAATACAGTGCCTTCCTGTGTAGTAGACGACACGAAAGCCCAACTTTTAGATGTAGAAAATAGCGAACAGGTCGACGGGTCGCCTCTTTCACTGCCAAACGATAGCAGCAGCTCTCCCTCGTCCTGCCCTGCCAACGAAAACGACGCATACCCCGCGAACGAATCCCAGACATCACATTTTTCACTGTCCAGCCTCGAACGCGTACCCAGTCCTTCCGATGATCTATTACCACCACCGCCACCACCCCCAGCCACCGAGGATTCCTCCAATTATCCTTTACCATCGGAACAGCTCTCTTGCCCCGTTCTTCTTAATGTGTCTGAAATGAAGAGTGAGCTTCCAGTTCCCGACGAGAACGACGCGCCCAGCCCGAGACACCCGACAGAGACACTTCTGACACCGCCTAGAAGTCCTAGTCCCCAGTCCAATGTCAGTATCGCGTCTGGCCTGACAACATCCACCAAAGACTCCTCGCAAACACAGTTACACGACGACCAGAGCAATCGAGAGTTCAAGATGGAATCGGTGTCGATAAGCCTCAATTCGTACAATGAGTCCGACATTGAATTAAAGGAGAGGTTAGCCGAGTCTCTGGCGGATACGGTGAACCAGGAAGAGAGCTCGATTTCATGTCAGTTGTCAAACAACGCCACGTCGTCAACAACTGTCCAGGAGACCCATCAGGTGACTAACATGTAACACAACCTCCTGGCATGAATTCAGGCAGCCAAAATACCTTTTTGGTGGCGCCTCGTTCCAAGTATCTCGTCGTACGGTCCGAGCACAAAACCAAAACCGCGTCTCTCTGTGATATATATCTATTTCCTTCCTTCGATTCATCGAATCCTCATTTTTATCCTTCTCTCCTGTCGCCTTCTCCTCCTCTTCGCTCTGGTGCTTTGTCACCTGAGCACCTGAAATTTCTCCATCGTTATTCTCCCATCGTCGCATCCAAAAGAAAAACGATAACTGTCTAACAACACGATCCTCCACGTATCTCGACGAAGAATAACATCGAACCAGACTGCACGACACTCTGACGTCGACGTTTCTGGGTTTTTGCACGAACCTGATACAAATATATTACCCTTCCTAGGCGTTCCCTGTGCACGACCTGGTGAATAGAAATCCAATCGATTCATCGCAACAGGCTCTCCCGTATTTCGTCCTCGACACTTTCCTCTGTATTCCTCTTAAGGAGAGAGGGGGTCTCGTTAAATGCATCCTTCGTTCTATCGAATAAAACGTGATTAACACTACGTTGTCTACTATCTGTTACTGACATACGTTATATTATACACCTCCTTGACGCTTCCACCACCAAAACCATCTACCAAGAACAACCGTTACTGCCATTCATCACCTGTGTTGTTTGCCTCTTGGTTTTCTTGACAATATTAACACGACTTGTTATTCGAATCGAGGCGCTAAAAAAAAAAAAAAAACGTAGAGCATCGTAGCTCGACGCATAGATGAACATGAAAAAGACGCGAAGTAAGGAAAAAAGAAAGAAAGTTCGTTGCTGTGGTGCCCAATGCTATACTAGTCGAGTTCTTTCTTCCAAGTTTCCGTGTAGAAGATTCATACCTTGGTTACCTTTTTTTTTCTTTGTCGGAACGCTGTTACTAATTAATAACAATTTAGCCGCTCGACTTAGACGAATTTCATTAGCGTGAAATCTCATTGATAGACGTAAACTTTGAGACTAATCGTTACACGTACAAAATTAGAGCTATACACGTTTAGAATTTAATGGCATTAGAAATTTGTACTTTATTATTAGACATCGATACTATCTTATGCTCTCTTTCCGTAATTGCATCTGTTGTGTCGTAAGCATCTTGTAATGCGCATGCAAGAGTTCTCTTATATCCGAGGGTTCACCAGATCAGGGTTTTTCAATTCTTTGCGCTGTCCACAAAGCATGAGACACGATTTTCTGTCCAGCCATTCAACGATCCTATCTGCCAACACCAACGCGTGGTATACCGACGAGAATAAATGGCTTTTTGCGGTAAGGGGAGAGGTAGCAAGAGCCTTTTTAGCCTTATCTTCTCTTATACTTAACACCTTATTGACGGGGCAAAGTCGAGTTGCAATTTTCTTTTTACAACAGGTGTAAAAATGTGAATGGAAACGATGCGATGGTCCGTAGGAGGAGGTCATTTGTTGATAAGGTGATAAGGAGGTAGGGGTAAGTCCAAAAGAGTCCCCTTATCAAGGGAAGTCATCGATGCTCGCCGCTGTACATATGTAATAATATAATCACAGGACACTTTGTAATATACCTGCAAGCTTAACTCTGCCGTCAAAAGTGGCTCGATGGAAATCGTGTATTTTTCACGTCTTTTGTCCTCGTAGCATGCTGGGATTTGGACTTGCTGGCGGACTTGTTTTGGGTTTCCGCGATCGCGCGAATCCTCTAACCAATAGACATATGTTTTACAGAGCACCAAGGAAACTGAAGCACCAGTAGAAAATAACGTGGCTCACGATAGCACGACAGCAAGTTCCGACGAAACTTCGAAAATTACATCTCCAGCCGTCCCAAGTGAACCGGTGGTACCTGCCTCTCCACCTTCTGCACCAGCCATCACCGAGGATGTTGCCTCCGTAGCCAAGGTAGTATATCGCGTTTGACCCCTTTTTCTAGCTTTTGCACAGTCCTCGTTACTTTATAAATAAACCTGCTAACAACGTTCAGAAGTAGCACACGGCCGTAGTATGATACGTGATGATCGCCAAAAATCGTTCGCGCCTGTTGGCGCGACCGATCCTGAGGCCATTAACTTAGTTTAATGCGCAAAGAAGAACATAGTGTGAGGGGCCATCTGATTAACTACAGTTATTAGCTTTAATTCGAGCAATTCTAATGCTTCGATAATTCTAGTGTTCCCTATTCATTTTATGGATATTCTTTTCTTCTTTTTTTTTTGTTAAAGGCTATCGAAGAGATCGACATAAGCGACAAGGCGGTTGCGGCGGCAACCATCGAATGTAACACGAACGTAAGTTGCATCGACAGTATTGTATTTTCCTTAGATTTCAATTCGAATCCTCATCTTCGCCTACTATTGCGTTCAACATTTATCCTTTCGGGCTGTTCACAGGAAATCATCGCGGATGCACGTTACCAAAACAACATGAACGAATAAATGCCGCTAACCGAATTGTGTATTTTGGGAAGAAGAAAGTTCTTTTCTCTCGTTAAAACCAAAAAAGTATATTATATAGATATGTATATTTGGACCATTCCTGCATCTAAACAGAAAATAACGTTCTTTCGTTACGAGCAACAACAATAACAACTGGAAAAATAAAAGGAAAAAAAATAAATAAATAAATAAATACATGGAACGACGACGATGTTACACCGCGACATCGCGAGAACATATAGACTTTTTATAATAGGCCTATTAATAATTCTTAGACCATGGCATTTGACGGCAGGGCGAAGTAGAAATATGTTCAAGAAATGGGTATGCGGAATGGACGAGCCAAATAAAAAGTAAGATTGATTCAGGAAAACAAATCACCTACTGCCGTTCCGCGAACGATATTCTCCAAGCGGAAGATTTTTTGCTACTATTCTTTTTCCACTCGATTGATCAAATAATAAATTTCCAACGTGTTGGGCCGTGCCCATTCGCGCGGGTCGTAATTATGTTGGCCCTGCTGTGTAAAAATTTGGTAAACCATCATTGTTAACTGAAACGCCAAGCTGGATTGTGTGATCATCGCGCGGCGGATGAGCAAAGATAACGGCGAAAATTTGAATAAAAGATAGAAAGGAAAACATCGTTTGTCGAGTAATTCCAGAGGAAAAAAAAAATAAATAAATAAATAAATACAAAAGTACTCATCGAATCGCGTACGCCCTCCCGTAACTGTACCGAATATTGCTATGTCGAAAGAATGTAAAAGAAGGAGAAAACTGTAACGGAGGAAAAGATCAGAAACTGAGAGATAGAGCGAGAGGAAAAGCTGTACGTGTGCGTTTTGAATGTGTGAGAAGAGAGAGTGCGAGGAAATGAAAATCGAGCGACGAGAAAAGAAAGGAAAATAGAAAAGAAGAACATTTTGAAATATGTCTCTTTGCCAGAATGTAAACGGGATATGAGAGAGAAAGAAGAGTGAGATAAGACGGGAGAAAGCAGAGCGAGGACGAAATTATTACAGGATATTACGTCAAAAAATCGTCTCGAGTGATGAAACACTCGAGTCGCGACTTCTTTTTAAAAGGACAACAGAGTCGATCAATTTTGCTCGTATTTCTTATACGGTCCTTGCGTTATCTTTTTTTTTATACAATTGTGTACACAATCGAGAGAGAGTTAGAAAAAGAGAGAGAGATAGATGGTTTTACGTTGTAACGAGGAAATGCACACTTCTACGTATGACTTTGGTACGCGCGAGCACACGACACACAATCACACATGCAAGCAAGTATCATGCAACACACGAGAAACACACAGGTATGTCGAGACAGTGTAAGTGATATATAATCTAGACATAGAGGAAAAGCGTTTGTGTAAATTCGGCGTTTTGATCGAAATGCTCTTACTACTTTCTCCATATGAGAATTACTTACGAGGAAAGCCTATTCGTAATTTTATAATAATCATTAAACAAAAAAATATCGCCTAACTACAATTACGAGAAACATGCACAATTACCACGTAACAAAAACGGGGATATTCGTTTATACAGATTTTTCAGAAGTAAATTTATTCCGTACGAAAGCTTTTTTTATTAAGACCGTAGCATAGTTCGTAAAGTTTAAACGAAACAAAAAAAAAAAGCGCGCATATATACATGTAAAATGCTCCAAATCTCTCAAGAATAACTGTAAGTGTTAAAATTGGAGCGAGCGTTCACTGTGCCCGCGACCGGCATTGATTTTTAAACGATATATTATTGAGTAAGGAGAAAGAGGTAAAATTTAAAGTTGTATAGTAAAACCTTTTCATTAAATATATTGTCCGTAATGATCTTTACAACGAAATTTACCGTTTTTTCGAGACAAGTTTTGGCGACGAGAGCGAACTTTTTTATTTGAAAGAAAAAAAAAAAGAAAAAGAACAGAAAAAAAATTCCTTGAACCCGACTGATCTCTGTGCACTCGAACTATCAATCGTTTTATTTCTGAGGCGTCTTCGATGCAAGCCATCTCGTTTATCTGTTTTGTGCGTCGAATACTACAAAATTGTGAACAAGACATTGAGTTGAAGACGCCTCAGACACAGACCAACAGTCTTCAGTATCTTCGATGAGCAGTTATAATAGTAATTAAAACTATTCTACATTTATCTATAACCTATAATAAACTGTGAAACACGTGTACAATCGTGCATTTTTATTCCATCTTATCGTTAGAAACCTGTTACAATTCCCTCTCGGTAGTAAACAAGAATTTGTTTTATTTGTTATTTTATTTACATTATTGGATTTACATCAAACTTATTGCACTATGCTTTCCATAGCATTTATGAACATATCCAATTCATCTTTATTTAATTCCAAACCTAAGATACGTTTTGATTCTTTATTTTCAACAATGAGATCTAACTGCAGAAGGGGTTCTCTCAAGGAAGCTAATTTACTTGAACCCATTACAAGCTACAAATGATCAGTGAATTAATGTACAATATGTACCTATGTGTTTTATTTATGTAGCTTACCTTTAATCTCCAATCAAAATCAATTAGCGTTTCACCGTTTTCTTTAGAATATTCTTTTAGCAGAGCATCTGTTAATTGCTCTCTTCTCACTTTCAAACATGCCAATATACTCTGTTGAACATGCTCTGGAAGCTCATGATATTCTTGAGGCATCTAGATGGTATAGTAATACATATTTTTGCATAAAACCTTACACACATTTTACCGAAATTTAGTTATACCTTTTCTTCTGTTAAATACAACGAAGTTGGATGTCTTAAAAGCATGGATATTAATTTGTATGTTTCTTCGTATTCTTCTTTACTCCAATCCATGCTAGTTGTAAACTTGCGATAAGATGGTCCTGGTTTACCACATATTTCATCCACACAAGCATGCAGCAACTAAATTGAATAGAAATTGATTTTATAGCTGTAAATAATTCGAAAAGAACATCAAAGTATACATGTTACTCACTTCTTTCAAAACATGAATTTTGTCCTCACTGAAGAGATTAAGGTATAAAGTTCGGGTTGTTTCCATAATTGTTGTATCTATGCAACTTTCTCGAGTTTAAATAATAAATAATAAAATTCAAAAACAGTCGTTATATAAAATACCATTGGAATACATTGTTAAATACATATGTATTTATTGTACATGATCATGATCTTACATCGTTGTTTTACTTATACAGTGGATAAAGTAAACACTGATTACAAAACTATTACAAACAGATTTATTAACTAAAAAATATCATATTTGTATCATTATTTTGTTAAAACTGACGTTTCTATTATGACATTTCAGGTTATCAAAGCATTCACCAAAACACGTTAACAATTCTACATTATTGCCATCTAACATCATTGATCCAAATTACGTTTTGGGCTACGTTGGTACAGCAAACCATCTGACAAAAAATTCCATGAGATGTTTGGTCTACCTTCGACATTGTTATCGTGGTTAGTATATCAAAACTAATAAAAGGACTAATTAGCATAAGACATCAAATTTATTATCGTACAAAACTGTAATATTATAGATCGCAGCTGCTTAAAAATATTATAAGTGTATACGACCGAGAAATTAGAAATAAAGGAGAGGTTTCTCGTAGAACGAATAACAGAATAAAAGTGTGTGCCACCAGATGGCATCAGGGGAGCCAGAATGTTGCAGTTCTTGGATCATCGTGATCGTGGTCGGTCGCGTTCGTTTGAATAGTGCGGTTGAATATTTTAAAGCAAATTTTTTGGTGTTTCTATCAATTAACATGTGTGTTGGATTACCCGAGCATTGGCCTGGACAGAATAGAAGACTACGTGGTACACATAAACGTAAGTTGCGATTTTATTGAAACGATAATCATGAATTTCTTTATACAACATTGCTGCTTGATTTGCTGTCTACGTCTATATATATATGTATATAGATTGCTTATTAAAGTTCGTAGCGAGAACAACAGTGCAAGCTGAATGTCGAGTGGCGTCCAATGTATTATTAACAGTAGAATATTCGGCACCAAAAATCGTAAATTCGCGTATAGATCGAGTTTGGAAAATTGCATGTTTCATAGGGCGGGAATCATCTGATAAAGCGACATCTAAGTAGTGTGACCTAAGATTTTAGAATAGCGTAAAATGGACCGATCTATACACGAATTGTGTCCATTGGCTCATAAATGCTCGATCAGCTATCGGTTTCGCGATCAAATCGGCTACTACGTACGTACATACTACGATAATGTATATAAAAGCGTACAAAACACGTATAGAGGGCGCGATACGAAATACCCGCGGCTCGAACGTCACTTTGAGCCGGTCGAACTTTGTTTTTTCTTCTTCTCGTATACTTGAATTGTTTCTTCGAAGGTTCATCGTTAGTAGTCAGTAGTCTGTACATACAGGTGGGCAATGATCTTGCGGTTGGTTCATTGAGAAACAAATTTGCATTCACTGATAGCTTCGTAGAAAACGTTGATAGATGGAGCCACCAGTCTGGTGTTTCCCGGCTTATCGCGGGCCTTGGAGTTTAAATTTGAAAAGTTAATAAACCTACTAACGATTATTAATGCTTCTCGATGAACCTTGGTTCGAAGATAAAAAAATACGAGTACAATTAAAGGGATCTGTATCGTTAATTCTGCGCGATTGTTTCTCGTCTTTACAACTTTCTCGCTTTGGTATAGGACACTTGATGTCGCGAGCGTGTCGGTTCCGCGCAGAATATAGAGGCAGGATCTTAGACTAGGCTTATGGTCCAACCTTTTCTTCGCCGTTAACGTACGAATAATCGAGACCTCTGTCATCGCGCCTTTCTCAGATCTTCGAATTCCGGATATGTAACTTTCCGCTCCCTTTTCTTTTGATTCTTCCACACAGCGACGAGTATCATCGAACACGATTAAACTATCTAGAGCTCTATCTCGTCCGTAACGAGTTTATCCTCGCTTCAGAATGCTCGACGATGTTTACAATCATTCTAGAAAAATACTCAGGATGAATCACGTAATTAAAACCACCTACGTAGAAGTTGGCAGCAAACATCGATTCTAATGAAAACTATAAGTGAAACGTTTTAGTTACGCGTTCCATCCTTTACATAAACAAATTCGAGGCACTCGACAAGAAGGTTTTACTAAACTTTAATAACTAAAGCATTTCTACCGTTATTTGTGATTTATCACTGGTCTGATCGAATGATTCTCGTCGATAACGATTACGATAACGATAACGATAACGATAACGATAGTATAAAAAACAAAGAGGGACATTAGAGTATAGCGTTAAGGTCGCCGGGATAGGTACATAGGACGAGTCATATGTAACGAGTCTCTGATAAAAGGCACTCGGAAATAAAATGGCACCGTCGCGTCTCGACCCTCGTTCTTCCTACTTTTCACTGTTTCTCTTTCGGCACTTCCTCTTCGTCATACCGTTCTCTTCTCTGCGTTCTAACTCCTGTACCAGTGGCTCGGGTTCCTGTGGTAATTGGCGATTTTGTCGAACTTGTCCTTTTTCCGGGGACATTTACCCTGTCGCCGCATATACTCGCCAAACTCGCAGCTGGGCAACGCGCATTCGTCGTTTTGAATGCATCTGCGAAACGGACATGGAAAATCAGTAGGGACAGACAGCAGCCTTCGAAGCTTCGAACGTTTAGTGCGCTAATATTAGATCACTGCTTTAGTTCTGTTCGTTAATCCTTTAGTGCCTGGATTCTCAAGCTGTGTAACAGAACAGTCTATACGATTCTTTCGAATCTCTGCTCAGTCGGTAGAATAAACGTATTATGAAAGCAGCAGTCTAATAATAGAGCCTGAACTATCCTATTTCATAATCTGCTTACAATCTATCAGCTAGAGAGAAGAATCCTTTTCCCCTTCTGATCTTGATGCAGTTTTGATCAGTCTCGTAGCAGTTGCACTGGCACTCGCCATCGGAGGTGATCCTTGGCGTGAATTCCGACGGGCATCGGCACCTTAACCATTTCAAATTAGAATCAGAAATGACACGTCTGAAAAATGAAACGGGCAGAGACTCACGGTTTTCTCGGTTGCGTCCTTCTCATGTTCTGAGGTTGCAGCGAGCTCGCAAAATGTCTGTAGACTCTTTGCTCCGAGGGTTTCTCGTTGGTCGTGTCGTATTCGGTCTTCTCTCTGCACTCGCATTCCGTGTGGTTGTAAAAGGATAGCTTTTCTACCACGCTGCTGCCGCCTACGTTCGTCGTCTGCAAATGAAAACGCGAAAACCTCTTAAAGTTTCTTATATTTAGATAGAATATAAGAAATTAGCCTTGGGACGCTTTTCGATTCCCTTGTTGTTAGGTAATAACCTAAGAGGAAAATCGCGACTCGTATGAAAAAGCAACGACGCGATCGCCTACGCGTATCGGTACGGTTTTAATTGAGTTCAATTAACCTTAGTCGAGCAGCCAGTAGTCTGGTCTGGCTCTGTTTTAAAGTGGTCGCTTACTGGTCGACGCTCGTTCAATGGACCGGGGTTATCCGTATCGCGGGGCCACACGTAACAGCTCCTCCAATCGACACTAATTACCCCCGGTTACTATTTTTACCCAGCGATTCGACAAAATAATGGAGAAACGAATCATGCTCGTTTCACTTCTTTATGAGATTAATCAGAGGAGCTTTTTCTAGCGTCCCCGTTATTTTGTTTACCCTCAAGTACAACATATCATAATACATATAAATAATACATGGGCAGAGGTAAATGGAAAGCGGGAATCTAGAGAAATTTCTGCTTTCGTTTGCGCTAATTGCTAGCTACCGAGTAGTGACGCGACCGGAATTCAGCAACAAGCTGATAAGCAATAGTTAGCATTTCAATCTAGCAGGAATCGAGAATGGTCGATAGAATAGAAAGCTCATAAATCGCGGAGGAAAGGAAAGGTTGGTGGTCGCGAATGGAATAGAAATTAACCAACCGTTTCAAAGCATGAACTAAGGTGGAACGAAACGATACGAAACGATACGAAACGAATCATTCGTAATCGGTGAATTATAATTGCTCGTGCGATAAGCACGTTGGTGGATCGAAGAACAGCTGCGTATACGCGTAATTGATGGTGTTAAGTGGGTCGTAGGCTAGGATCGCGGTCGAGATCGATGACAATGGGCTAGTGGCTAGCAGCTAGCGGAACGAAATGCCATGATCGCGGGCCAGCAAGGGTAGCGTCAATTGGTTTATTATGGGATTCCGCGGGTAGGCGCGGTACTGAGCATCGATCAGATCCGTGCGATACCGATCGATTATGCAACCGTTCATCGTAGAGAAGTTCAAAGGTATTCGTGACGTATCGTTGCTTGCTGCTTGTTCACTAGCACAGTAGAAACAGACATGCCTAGCACGTCTGACAACTGATCAGACGTGTCCAAAGCTTGCTTCGGTACGTCGAGTGATTCATCGTTTCGCTTCGTGTCTATTCTACTTACGCAGCTTGCGGTTTCCTTACTTACTTACAATATAAGAGACAACGCGATTTAACATTAATGCAATCCACGATTCGTATCTGAATGAAAAATAGCAAGTCGATGAGTTTAAAAGGAATCGAATCGAATCGATGTTATTCGAAGGAATACACGAACGGCTGGTGGAATAATAAACGCAGAGGACAAATTGCATCGAATAAGAGTAACGTGAGTCTCGCCGATTTTTTACCGGTCGACACAAAGCGCAAACATCTTCCCGGATCTTTGTAATACGAACTGCCCTTGTCGTGGGCTGTCTCCCTGTTCCTCGGCCGTACTCTGTCAAGACGGTACAACCAGGATTGAGATTCGCGATCGTCTCTGGCGAATAGCCTGGCCGAGAGATGGTGGTCATAAATTTGATGCCACAATGGCGTACGTTAGTCTATTCCACGAATCCGGAGAACTTTCAATTTCCTGTTTCATTTTTTATCCTTATCAATTTTGGAGAAGATAGAAATTTATCGCGTGGCGTTTCAGATTATTAAGATTATTGCAGTAGCTACTTCCTTGTAGCAGAAAAACTTTCGAGTGCAAAGAGTTAAATGCTCTAAATTGCTATGCAGAATATATTACAAGACAACGGTCAAATTGTATTTAACCCTATCGAACCCTATTGCATTCAACAATTTCTTCCTAGTTGAAATGGCCGACTTAAAACTTTCTTCTATCGCTATTTATTTTCTCGTAAAATAATGGCCGATTCTGCTATCTTGTACCGTTTAGAACTTTTGCATACTTTTTACACGGTTCGCTGGCAAAAGGGAGCCGAACGATCGATTTTCCTTTTCCAACCTGGACCAGTTTTTCGCGTCTCGCAGTTTCTCTCATCCTTTGTTGCAGTATTGCAACAGAGAATATTTGCAAATTCTCTGATAGAAATTCCGAAGGGTTAGCCCTTGGAATCTGGCTGAGAAACGTACGCTGGAATTGAATTTCTTGCTGGATTATTTTCCCCTGGGTAGAATCGAGCAGCTGACCGACTGGCTCATTAACATTCACCGTATCTCGCTCGGGGGGCACCCACTGGTGAATGAAACACAAGAAAGAAGCAACCACGAAATCACGTGTGCCACGAGCCTGGAGATCGGTGAACCATGTCTTCCAGTTCGCTTCTTTGCCGTGTACTGTTGTTTCTTGTCATTTTTGGGATTCGAAACGTGTACCGTGACTCGCTTAGCGATTCGTAAGCTATCCAACCAGACTGTGAGTCTCGTTTCGTAACGATAGCAACGATTGTATTACAAACTACATATCCTCGACGAACGGTTCCCAAGAGATATTTCCAGACAAGTTATCCTGCTTGAGAAGGTAAAGCACGACGTTTCTGATTCTACCAGAGTCACTAGGGACTTTCTCGATGAGACGTCGAACTGATAGGATCTCGTTCGAAAGTATCTTGTGGGCGGTCGATTGATCTCGCGATAGCTTTGATAAACGCGCCATGTGCTTTTCTTTTCAGTTCTGTAGCTGGTATTTTCGCATGCAAACATTGCTTTTTCTTTGGCACGGCAGAAAAATATTTGGACGAACCAGAATCTTTCGTCTACTATAGGTATCGGTAAATGCAATGCAAAAATCTGCGAAACACCACAAAGGTTTTCTTCTTCCTCCAAGTCCCGTATTCATCTTCGACTAGTATGAAAACACGAGTCCAAGTGTTTGGTCTATCGAGATTGTTTGCATTTCAGAGCGTCGGTCGACAGCCGTTTTGGCAGCTCGCCTCAAAGAAAGCTCCTTCTCCATTGCTACAAATGTTTACGCATGCATCTTCTTGCTTCGGATACTCGATACGTTGTGTACAAGATCTTCGCTACAGATTCCCGCGAAAGAGATTTATCGGATTTTTCTGCAAGGAACGTGTCAATGATCTTTCGTTAACGTATCGTGATAACGATGAACCGAAGGACATATCGTTTGATAACAGCCGCTCGATTCGTAGAATCCTCGCGATTCTAAGTAGGCGGTGTTTCTATGAGAGACGATGCGAAATATTCGCGAGGGTGTGTTTCTAACATTTGACGAGATCTACGACACGACGCGACGGGACGGTGCAAAAGGTCGAATGCCAGCACGAGGTTTGGAAAGGTCCGACGTGTTTTATAGCAATAAATATATTTCTCGAATATAGAAAATTTATTTAAGGTTTCTCAAGAGTATATTACTCTCCGTGAAACATGAGAAATAATTTATTTCTCGTTTCTTTCGTTTAACCTCTGTGGCTTGAATCGGCTGTAAGGTGCCCTTAAAGTTATAAGAATTCAGCGTAGGAGTCCCGGAAGTCCGAGGTTCTTCCCGAGGAATGTAACCGATCCCCGATCGGAAAGTTCGAAAGGAACACGCCTTTCTGGGAAGGATAATTAATTCCTGGCGTCATAAATGATCCAGCAGAATCAAGGTAAATTCGATTTACTTCTCCTGCCTGAAGATTCTTGGGACAGATGAAAGATAATAACGCGATATCTGGCGTCATTCAAGCCGCTTGGATCGTCGATAGGAGTACATTAATCAGTCGGATATCGCGTTGCAAATGTCCCCTGTTGTCACCGATATTTATCCAGAGCCTCTCTCTTCCTCGTTCTTTCTTCCATCGGAATTAGAAACGACTCGCAGGACTTGCGACTAATTCACCTACTACTTTCACTCTACGTCCCGTTTTTTATTCCTGCTATCACCGTTCGATCGTCTTTCCGAGACGTCGTTGTTGATCCAAGTAAATTCCCTCGTAAATCTCTTGCGTACCAGTTTTTCACGGGCACGCGCTTAAGCGTTAAGAACGATTTGCATGCGATTATTGGTGGGCGTTCCAGCAACTGATCGAGATCTTTATCGATCGTAAGTCGTAAGTCGTAAGGTTGCGTTGAGAGCGTGGAAAAAGGATTACTGGACAGTTTAGAGAATGCTATTCTAAGTTAATAGGACATTTTCCTATTTTTGCTATATCTCAACATGGTTGGCTGCTTCGGAGAACGGAGGAGATTCGGTTATCTGGAAACGTGGAATTATCGATAAGAGTCGGCAGCGTCTCAATTTCTTCCTCTGAATGACAGATCGCGCGTAATTTTAGTTGTTCTCCGATAAGGACGCATAAATCAACCTTTCCTCGACTCAGCTTTCCTTCGTTCAACCTGTTTCGAACCAGTTGCAAAATTGAAATCGCTCCGGGCAACTGCAGTTCGCGATAATCATTACGCGACATTGTCGATTGCATCTCTTTTTTAACCTATTCGGTGCAACGGGTACAATACGGAAACTTTCTCGATAATCGAGTGCACGTCGATGTTGAGAATCTGATATTCGATCGAGTTTGAGCAATCGTAATAGATTAATTTGACGCGTACGCTAAGGAATTTCAGCTGACCGAAAGAATTTCAGTGCAGCCGCGAGCACGCGTGCAGTTGCGAGACCGCTTGGCCTTTCAACGTTGACGCGAATTGTCAACAAGCGTATGCAAATGCCGCAGCTGCTCGAGCCGGTCAGTATCGGCTAACGCGATCGCGACCCGATATCGCGCCACCTCCATCACCTGATTATTACTTTCCTAATTCACGAAACTACAAAATAGAGAGTTATGCCTCCTCGATAAACACCTGCCTGTAATAAACATTCCACGTGTTTGTAATAGGTATTAAGATAAAACCAAACACGTACGGTTTACGTAATTCGCAATTATATTACATTGGCTACGGTACATTAAATCGAAGCAGAGAGATTATGGGTAAAATATCATCGGAGCTCGACA